AAAAGGCCAAAAAAAAAAAAAACAAGAATATAAAGCAAAAAAACATTTTAAACAGTTTCCATTTTGCAAACTAATGCAATCTGGCTCGTTGATTGTGTTTGATTACAGTGAAGATTAGCACAGTGTCTTTGACTCTATAATTGCAGTTTAAAGCTGCAATCTTGTGATAACGCCGGCTCTTAGGTTGCCAGAGTGTGAAAAACCTTGCCCTTGTGTTACAAGAAGTAAGGTTGCTATTTCTCTAAGGTAAATAATCAAAAACTTAAAAGGGAGCCTTTGGAGATTTTGACCATTAATAGCTCTATGCAGCCATTTTTATACAAGTGGGTCCCAGTTTTGTTTCTTGCACACACACACTGACACACATACAGTCCAACCAATGGTTTCACACTATTCTAGTGGTAATGCACCAAGAAATGCAGCAATACGCCAACAAAAGGCAGAGAAGAAAACTGCTCGCAAGTAAACATGGAATCAACCCAGGTTTTATACTTGCAAGTGTTGTTCAAGGAAGGTGAATTTAAACAAAACTTCTTTTCATTTACAAGAAAACTCCATAGGACACCTTTAATTCCTGCTCACACCGGTAATTCTAGTAATAATCATCAATATCTTAGGTTGGCGCCTTTGTTGCCAAGGTGTGTTCAGCAGTTGCAGGGTTATGTGAGGTTTTCTCACCTTGGCAGCCATGCGAGAGTAGAGGGCATTCTGATCCTGTGCAGAGCTCATTTTCTCCCTCCTCACCATCTCCTTCAGACCCACATTGTCATCATCCTGGAAGTAGCGCACACGCTCCCCATCAACATGAGTCTCAATCTGAAGAGAGAGGGAGAGAGGAATACAAGGACGTACAAGGTCGTAAACAGGAAAATTCACTAGGAATTTTAAAATCTATTCAAATCACACCCGAAATGTCCTTGAAAGGAGAGACGAAGAGCAGTGGAGAGAAGAGAGAGGTAGAAGAAGATGGGGCTGAGATAGAGAGTGAGAGAGTCAAACAGTGAGCTACACAGACAGTAAAGGAGACTGGGCCACTTTATAAATTTATAATAACAATAAACAGAGAATCGACTGGAGAGCTTTGTTTACATTAGACACGTTTCAACTCCGAGTCAGGTGGACTCCCGGCTCTCATTACGCACTGTGATGAATACCAAATGACAAGGATTAAATAGAAGGACGCTACATTCCAGCTGCAACAGTGTGCAGAATCCTCTCCATCTTTGTCCTACGTGGTGGCTTTCTAAAGCAGTTCAAGAGTTAGTTTTATCAAGAAGCACATTTTCATGGTTTCAAACTCATTTGAAGAAAATTTCCCTCCCTGCTGTTTTGTCATTTATTTTTCTACTTTCTTTCCACCCGTCATCCCTTTCTCTTTACCGGCTTCTTCTTCCGTCGTCCTCCGTGGGGCTCCTGGGGTCCAGAGGGGGAATTGACTGGCCAGGCCCGACCTGCTTGGTCTGTTCTGAACAACAGGACTTCCTGGTCTTCAGCTGAGCGACCTGTGACCTTTAAAAAAAACAAAACACAGCCAGGTCATTTCACCGTTGTTTGTTTTTAGCAATGACTGACAATGTTCCTATAAAGATTAAATATTTGTATGTGTATACCTTTTGCATTTAACACACACACACTCAAGAAAAAGGATGATAATGTTTTATGATGCAAAACATCCAACAAATGACTAAAATAGTCCACTGCCTGCCACCAATGCCAGGTCAGGAAAGGTACATTTGCTGATCATACAACATAGATGACTGTACTAGTAAGCACAGGATTGTATTCCTTCACGGGGACCCTACAGGTTTTAACAATTGACGTTGATGTACATAATGTGTTTACAGGATGAAATATTTGAATGTAAACATTCATTCCAATTACTCAGTTTTCTAAATATATTTATGCTTTCTGTGCATGATCACCATCATGATAGTTGGATTAGATTAAACTGAAAAGTTGTAGAGAGCACTTGAAATAAAAGAGATGTGCGTTATTCTCAGAGACCCTGAATAAATGTTACTACCTTTGGGAAGAAAAACACAAGACCTGCCTTCTGCTGACTACCTTCAGTAGTAAAATGTTCTGATACAACTGCTGCTTCAGCGCCAACATGTGAACAGGACAATTCATCATTTTATAAGAGGGGCTCAATTAAATACTTTGTTGTCAATCTGATTAATTACATTCAGAAGTAAACAAAGCTGTATGTAACTGCAGCCAGTGTCTGACTGGACAGCCTATTAAAGTCTGAAGTTTGACCTGACAGGTAGAGTCAGACGGCTGAGAAAAAAGAACAAGGTGGGAGCAGCAGAGAGGATGGGACTGTCAGAAAAACGGTGATAGAAAAAAACATTTCCTCTGCTGCTGTCGACACAGTCCGGCCTTTCAAGGCTCCACATGCAGTGAAAACACTAAATATGACCTGTACAAGCAACCAGAGTCAAAACACTGAATAGCGAGGGCAAGCCAAAAGTCTTCCATAACAAGACAGATTGGAAGGATCTCGAATGAGCGCAAATCAACAGCACTCTATCTCTGAGAGGGCTGAAGTACCTCTCAGCTGATAAGTACACTAAAACCTAAGAATTATGACATTTTCCCTGAAACGTTACTGAGGATTTCACCCTAGTCCTTAAATTTGGACGGGACATCCTTAGCGGGGATGAATCTGGCCTAACTTACAAATGATAATATACAGGTTATAAAAATAATCACAGCCTGCTTCCCATGTGTTTATAAAGTTGTCTGGAGTCTGCTCATGTCGGAAATAGGCCTCTATTTATTTGTGCATATGTGCGCGCGTGTGTGTGTGAAGCCGGAAAAGGCATTAGCGGTGCCAAGGATGGGAGATAAAGCAGTGCTGCGGTGTCAGGGCACTGCCATTGCTCTCTGTTAATTGCCTGTACTACAGAGGCAGACAGGATGGCACATATAATCTCTCTGTCTCCCTCTCAATCAGTCTCTTTCTCGTTCTCTCACACACATAAACACAGGGGCACACACTCTGAATGACCTCTGGTAGGAAAGACATTTGCTTCCCATTAGGGTCTGCTGAAATGCCAAACAGGAGCCGTTTCCATACAGACAGCAAGACGTCAAAGCTGAGCAGCAAAGAGACTTCAAACAAACAAATTCCTTTTAAAAGCATTCAGACGTAATAGCAGAGAATTTAGTTTCATCTGAAGACGAGTGTGTGAGAGGCACTTTTCTTGCCTGCACAGTGAGAGAGATGGCTGCTGCTGTAACCTGCTGTGTGTGTGTGTGTCTGTGAAGTTTAGAATACATATAGCCTTGAGAGTTTGAATTAGCATTTAGACTATGGGAGAGGAAAAGGAGCAGCTAGCAGATAAATCTGACACAGGAAGATTCAGTGTGTGTGTGTGTGTGTGTGTGTTTAAAGGTTAAGAGCTGTGTGCAAGTATCTATCCATCTATTCCTGTGTTTGCATGTGTTTACATTTGTGTGTGATTTGAGAGTTAATGTGATATATATATACATACATTGATTATGATTAGTTAGTTAGTGATTATACATGTATAAATCTGCAACGTGATTCAGAGTGTGTGTATGTTTTGGATCTATAATAAATCTGGGAGAAGTAGCACTGTGATAGATATCAGCAGATGGAAACCTGCACTCAGGAAACAGCAAGTATTTAGATAGCCAAGCGACAGATTAAAAAAAGGAGAGGCAGAGAAAGAGAGAAATGGAGTGGAAAAATATATTTCCAGGAAAGAAAAGTCCTCTCTTCTCTATAATCATATTTTAAACTGTCTAATCATATTTTCCTTTTTGGGGTGGGAACTGTGTTTTGTTCTCTGTCTTATCCACCCAGCTATTAGGAAAACCTGTTAAACCATAATGCAAAAGTAATGCAGTCTTATACAACAGCTCAAGTTCATGAAGGTTATAATGCTCATGCTTTTGGTTGAAACTGGTAATACTAATATTTTACAACCATTGTTGACACTACTTATTTTAGTTAGTTTGGAAAAGACTGCGACGATGAATGTGTAAGACTGAAATATAGTATTTACAGACCTGCTTTGATTTAGTGGCTTCTTGTAGAGTTTTCCGGGCAGCGTAGCTCTCTTTGGCTTTCTGTGCTGCTTCCAGCTGTGATTTCAGCTTCTCAACCATGGCCTGAAACACACACACACACACGCACACACATTTGAAACACAAACATGCTTTAAAAAGCCTACACATTTAGATTTACTGATAAAACAACCAGTCAGTATGTTGTTTAATATTGCTGTGTAGAGGTTATTTGGTAAGACACCATGTGTTTACATAGTGATAAAATAAATGAAGAATGACGAATGAAGATGGGGACCCCCTCCTTGGCAGATTTCCTGGTTCAAAATGTAGAAGTACTACTCTGAAAGTAGAGCCTGACAGATACATTGGACGGCTGATATTAACGGCCGTTATTGGATTACCATATAAATATCATATGGCTGTATATACGTTGGCAGATATTTAAATAGGAAGTGCAGTATGTAAATGTTTTATAGGCTGCATTTTAATATAAGGCTGGCAGTTTTCTTAAAGTTTAGAATATCATTTCTGTTTGTGTTTTTGACAATCGGCAGATAAAAGGCTGAACGCTGTAAAACAGAGACAGAGAGAAAAAACATCTGTCTCCGAACCTCTTAAGTCATACTGCTGTGACAGATATCGATAGCTTTATGTACAAGGCATAAAAGGCAAGTGCTTGGCTGCTAAAGGCACTTAATACACACAAAGCGGTTTGGGAATATAGGTTTGATTGCTTTGTCGTGTAGGGAGATGCTGGATGTGAGGTTGATAACACTTAGCATTATAGGTGTGAGTGTGTGTTGTAACAGACAGCTCTTCAACACTCTCTATAAGAGATCCCAATAGCACTCTTCGCATTGACACGTGAAGACAGACAGAAGGGGAGTTAAGTGCACAGATCAATGAACGCTATAAATGAATGGATCCCCTGATGTGCTGTTAAATCAAAGAGAAGAGTCAACGTGAATCAGCTACAACTTCCCCATAAAGCTGCAGGTAGTGAGATTTAAGGGCACCCTAAAAAGGTTCAACGAACACTTGTAGTTTGTTTAATTCTTCAGTTTTTCACACTGACAAATTGTTAGATGTAAAATAGGGTATATTGATTATTGTGTTGGCTAGTTTCTTCATGTAACTTTACAGTGCGTCTTTCAGAGTTAGTCATAAAAGTGTGTATTTAATCTATCTGCGGAAGTAATTGTGACTAACTGTAATAATAACTAGGGGTTAAGAAATATCTATACACTTGAGTATTGTAATATTTTGTTGTGCTCTGATTAATAACCTACTCACCATGTTGCCCATGATCTCTGCCTTCACCAGTTTGGCTCCCAGTTTGTTCATCTCCTCCTCTGACAGCAGTGGAACTTCCTCCTCTTCTTCCTCCTCACTCTCACTCTCACTCCTAGGGGAAACATGAAGAGGAGAGTATGAAGGGCAGACCAAAACCAAGATATAGAAAGGGAAATTTAAAAAAGGGAATAGGACCACATTTTTACACCTCGTCACATGGCGTCTTGTTCAGCACCTCCTCACCTCAGATTTCCTCCATAACTCACCCTCTGAACAACAGGATTTAATGACTTAATTATTCCACCCTAATAATAGTCCTACAACCATCCACTGGGAAACTTATTTGTGAAGTTTTTAATTTAACCATGTAGTTGTTTTGCTCTGAGCACTCACACTGTTCATCTGTTATGATTCATTTGAGTCTCTGTGCCCCCCAGAGATCATTACAGCCTTGCCTTGGAGGATCTGAACTGCAGCCTGGGAGGCATCGTTCTAGGCTATTACACTTCTCATAGCCTCATTTCATTCTGCTGCCACACTGCAGACTCATTTCATGCTGCAGGGGTTCTGGGTGCTGGTTTACCCAAACAACTTAGCCTAATGAGGCAACACACAGAACAACTAAGAAGGCTTTACAAAGCAGTGATACTTCCGACATCTGGCCTACAACGGTGCTATGTGTTGGACTGCCGAGAAAATAAGAAAACATTAAAGCTTCTGATGCAATCATTTGCCTCGGTTTAAACTGTGCCACAGAGGGTTGTTGCAGTTTTGTGTCCCTTTAAATGAGACAGAGTATCCATGTATCATGGCGATATAAAAATGTCTGACAGAAATAGATAACAACAGATAACATCTGAGTTACAGGCTGAGAGTTCAGAGGGAGTTCTTTCTTGGAAACTCAAGACTAATGTTCAAAAGCGGATAAGGACTTTAACAGTTCTTGCAGGTCCCCTAGAACTAATCAAGTACATATGTGAAGACACAGCAAGTGTGTTGTGGAAGGGATTACTGAGAGAAAGTCATGTGAATCCATTAAAGACCAATCTGATCAATATCAAGTTTGAACCTTGTTAACATGCCGTTTTGAAACGCTACAAGACATATCTTGAGTGTAATAAGTAGTCAACACCACAGCTGAGCATTTTCGCTTTGGAACGGCAGTGTACCAATTACTTTCTCAAAAACACCGATTCAAACAGTCAGATTCATGTCATGTCATGGCAAAGTTGCAAAAGGAGAAATGGTGAGCCTTTGTGTATTACAAAAAGATCTGAAAATCTGAGAGAGATGGGTGACGTCTGCAGAAAAAACAAAAACAGATGGTTTGTCACAAAACTAACACTGAACTTACCGGTTAACCAGTAAGTGTATTTTTCTTGTATTTTATATTTTATCCATTGACTGTGTCCAACAATCTGTAGTTTACTGGATAATGTGAGCCAGCGTTCGCCTGCCAACTTGCTGTAGGACATTTTATACGGCTTTGGGATGTTGATGAAGAAAGTTAGGGCAAATATTACTCAAAACAGTTCGTCACATAGCTAACGTTAAGCTGCTGAATTAGATGATGGCTATATTCATTACAATAATTCTGACGGAAAGCTTGACTTTGGGGTTGTTCACAAAGAAAGTATGTCATGATAAAGGTCGTCCTCATGAGGTGCTATTAGTATTAGATAAAGTTAGCTAATTTAAGAACATGAAAGATTATTTTAAAGGGATTGGAAAGAAAGTTGCAAAGTGTGTATTAGCAAAGCTAGCGCTGTCGTGATGAGTGGGCAGGAGAATTGGACAGATTCATTTATAATGTCCACCCAAACACGCATGCAACTTAAAAATTCAATCAGTACAGTGGCGTTGGACTTCCTTTAGAAAACCATGTTTTCAAGAGAACAAAATAAAAAGCTTGAAACCTTGATGTTGTCGCAGCAACTTCACCACGCACAGCGTCCTGAGGAGCCGTTACAGTTTTCCCAGGATCCTTCTCTTTCTCCTGCGGTGGTTTTTCTAGGCTGGCAGATTCGCGGGCAGGATTGCTGCCCTTCTTCCAGGCTGGAATGTTGGTATTACGTGGACCGGAGTCTTCATCATCAGAGCTCGGTTTCAGGAATTTTGTGGACGACCGTGCTGGGGGAGGCCGGCGCTCTGGAGCTGCACCGGAAAGAAATGACAAAGCATGTTAAGGAACACTCTTTACACGTTAGACTACGTATAACATTTGATGGAATTCCGTGTTTCCTGATTAGTGAAAGAAGTCAAGATATTTTGTTGCTCTTTTTCAAGATCGTTATGACTGTAAAATGCAGTCGCTGCTGTCCAAATAACATCAAAATGCTGTTTACTTCGGCAAAACTTCACTCAGACGTCTATTAGAAAAGGCCTTGACGTCGACCCACCTTCACCACTGTCATCATCTTCTGAAGGTTTAAGGAAGCGGCTTTTTAGTGAGCCAAGAGAGGAAGAACGGTGGTTCCAATTTTGCCCAGATGATGACGATGATGATGACGATGATGCAACACTTGGCCCATCTCTTTCTCCTTTTCTTTCACTCTCCCTATCCCTGTCTCTTTCTCTGTCTCTTCCTCTATCTCTCTCTCTGTCTCCATCCCTGTTACTGTCTCTCTCTCTGTCTCTATCCCTGTT